CTGCCAGTATTTTATCCATCTCATTGAGATATTGCTGTTTAGATCACACTACAATGCCCCCCCCCCCCCCTTTATCCGCTGGGCGGATAACAAGCTCCTTTCTATTTTCAAGTGAGTTTTATTCTATTGCTAATACTATGCACTTCTGTAACTTTTTTAAGTGGCATTTTTTCCAAGTCTTCTATGGCCAATTTGTTTAACATGTCAGTATGTCTGTTATCACCTATTTTAGGATTAAATAGGGACTTATTCCTTAAATTAGTATTTGACCCATTGATCCTTTGATCAATTATAGGATATGGATTCATGGCATAAAATGTCTTTATATTTAACTTATGAACAAGTTTCTGGATATTAATATAAGTATCAAACTTGTTCAAACCCTTTTTGGGGGCAAACTTGAGTCCCTTATCTAAAACTTTAATTTCTACCCTATTTTATTCAGTGTCCTCCTTCCTGCTCAACATCCGATTTTCTTATGGGTTCTCCCTGCATGTGTGACCTCCCCTTGGGGTAATTGCTTCTAAAAAAGGAGGGGGGATAAAACTCTGGGGTCTCATTCCCAAGAGGTGTGCATCTATTATGAACAGGAACCTGATACTAGGGGTGGGGGGTTTTCTTAAACCTCACACTCTGTGGTAACGGTCTGTACTGGGTCATATTGTTTACAACATAGGGACCCTGTGGGGCATAATTTTGAAATTTTTGAATAATATAGAGGTCTTCTATTCTGAAATTGGGGATTCCTATAAGATATTGGGGATAAACTGGTCTATCTGTCCAACCTTGCTCATATCCTTGAGCTTGTGGATAGGGTTGAGACTGAGGATGAGCCTGAAAACCTCCAGAATTTCTGGAGTGAGTTTCACCCTTTACATTAACCTCCATATTAGTACTTCTTTCAGGGGTAGTGTGGGTAGATGCCACACTCTCTGTACTGGTCTGTGGCTGCCATTTGAATACACATTTGGTTTGATAATCAGTTAAATCTCTTATGAATTTCTTATGTTTTTTTATTTTTTATTATCCAAATCCTGTTTGGTCATATGTTTAGACAAATCATCAGACAATTTATTGAAATCTGCATGGAGTCTGAGCAGTTCTATCTTTTGTTACCATTCTTTCAATAATACTTCAATCTTAAGCATTTTTCTTTGTTTCTTCTTAATCAAAAACTCCAATAGTTCTTGTCCTTTCTTATTGAAGAACTTGAACCATTCTTCCATATCATCATCCTCCTCCTCAAGTCCATCACTGATGAAATCCCAACTAAGTTTTCTAGGGACCATATCTTCTCTACTGTATCTCTCCATCGTGGCCAAATCCCACCACAAATTAATTTTTTTGTCCATTAAGTGACTATATTTACGAAACAAAGTGGTTCAATTATTTTCTTCATCTTTAACTTATCAGTGAAAATATCTTCCAAAATCCACCCTTTGATCAAAAAATTTAAAAAACCTCCATAGCTACTGCTAGCAAGTGTATGAGACAAAATAATAATAATGTGAATTAAAATAAAAATCTTGAGCGCTACTGTGGATCAAAAATAAAGTGCACATAAAAAAATATGTAAAAATAACACACCCAAATAAATATATATAGCAGCTATAACACAAAACCCTATCTCATATATGGACAAGATCAATAAATAAAATAGGAAAACGTGTAGCGCTACAAATCTTGAAACTTCAATAACAAAAATAATTAAGAAATAAATAGTGAATGATATAAGTGATAGTAATGTAAAAGTTCAAACAAAATTGCTTCTGAATAGAATATCCTTCCTCCTGTGATTATTGAGTACTCCAACCAAAGAAATGTGCACAATTCCTCCACCAGATATCTGCTCACCTCCACCAGTGCGACCTCACATATATATGCTCAGTCTAACAGGTATATATGTGAGGTCGCATTGCTGGAGGTGAGCAGATATCTGGTGAAGGAATTGTGCACATTTCTTTGGTTGGAGCACTCAGTGATCACAGGAGGAAGGATATTCTATTCAGAAGCAATTTTGTTTGGACTTTTACATTACTATCACTTACATCATTCACTATTTATTAATTATTTTTGTTATTGAAGTTCCACGATTTGTATCGTTGCACGTTTTTTCCATTTATTTAGTGACAATAAGGGCTTCTTGATCCAGGTCATCTCCAGGCTGTGTCATCACCCGTAGGTTATCTTCTTTTTGCTGGCTAGCCAGCTTGTACTTATTTCTATGCCACAGCCTAAAGAGGACCTTAAGTAAGAACAGGGTAATGACCTTATATACCTCAAATTCATCCATTGAGGACATTTCTTCAAAAGGGCTTGTCCTTTTCCCCAGAGTGATATGTCTTTCCTCTAGATCACAGGTGTCAAACTGGTGGCCCTCCAGCTGTTGCCAAACTACAAATCCCATGAGGCATTGCAAAATTGACAGTTACAAGCATGACTCCTAAAGGTAGAGGCATGATGGGACTTGTAGTTTCGCAACAGCTGGAGGGCCACCAGTTTGACACCCCTGCTCTAGATGAAAATTAGATTCACTACCTTCATATCTTTAATGAGTTCTCTTCATCAAAGGTTTCCATTATGCTATCGATACCATTTTTCTATTGTTCACTTCTCATCCTGCCCTGTCTCTGGTTCCTCATTGGATTCCCTCTTACTTGTTCGCATTCTTTTCCTTTTCCTCCTCCCATTAGTCCTTCCTTTTTTCCCCTCTTTCTGGGCCAGGGTCTATTTCTCTCATCTTTACTTGGTCTAAAAAAGCTACAGATCTAGAAGTACCTTCCCCTTCACTGTCGGAAGAGTTTTGTATATTTCTAGAATGTGTGCTTGCTTTAAAGTCTAAATCTACTCCTTCCTCTAGTTCCTGTAAGATTGAAAATATTCCCCTTCCTCCCCCCCCCAATCTTTTATTTTGTTCGAATTTTTGTTGATTCTTGATACGTAAGTTTTTTTGCACCTTCTCAATTTCCATTTTAAGGAATTAATTATGCTTATTGAATTCAGGGTTCTCTTTGAAAGGTTCTAGAGCTTTTTGGTGCTTTCATCTATTTTTTCCTGAATTTCAAGTAACTGTGCTCTTTCTTCCTCTACAATCAGTTTCAACAGACCTAGACCATGCTCAATACAATATTGTTTCCATTTGTTGAGAAACCTAGGGGTATGTAGGTGCTCTGCGGGGATAACTTTCTCTCTTAGTCCTCTCAGTATGACTTTCTGCTTAATATGTGACTCTAAGGACGAAATGTCCCATTTTCTATTCAATAATTTAATAGTTAGCTTTTTATGATGTTTAAATAACTTTTAAATTTGTTCCTCATTGCCAGGGTCAGATTGAACTCCCTGGTCCCTTTATTGTCTCGCATGTTCCCTAGTTGCATCTTTAGCCTTCTCGCCCCCTCCCTTATAGTGTGTATGTTTGAAGGTTGTATGAGCAGCTGCTAAGGTGACAAGGCACAGTTGTCTTTTTAGATTGGTGAAGTTATGGTGGTGGTGTGCTCAGCTTCTGTATGTATATTTGTGCAACGCACATTTGTCTTGTTTTTTTTCAAATAAAGCCCTTTGATAAAGCTACATGGTCGCATATGAAGCTACCTTTTTGGGGAACCCTTTCCCTATGCACCTAGTAAATTAACTTCCAAGGCTCCAATCAAAATTGATTAGTCAGTGGAAGCATGGAGATGCCAAATTTCCAACTATACCAAATAAAAATTGTGCTTTCTAGGATGATAGACTGGTCCTGCCATGCTAACCTGAATCGCTTGATAAGCATAAAGCAGGGAAATTATGTACTTACTTTTCAATCACTTCCCTGAATCAAGTCCATAAAGGCAGGAAGATAATTCTCATCTCTCAGTATCCAGTACCTTTAACTGGAAATAATATTCATGCTAATGCAAAGATTTCACTGGAACCCTTGCCATTACTTTGCATTAATAACCCAGAATTTATCCAAGGAATGCAGGTGAATAGGTTGGAAAAAGCAGGTTTTATCCTGATCCAGAGTCTGGGAGGGACACATATCAATTTAGTAAACTCTTGTTTTTTTCAAATAAAGCCCTTTGATAAAGCTACATGGTTGCATATGAAGCTACCTTTTTGGGGAACCCTTTCCCTATGCACCTAGTAAATTAACTTCCAAGGCTCCAATCAAAATTGATTAATCAGTGGAAGCATGGAGATGCCAAATTTCCAACTATACCAAATAAAAATTGTGCTTTCTAGGATGATAGACTGGTCCTGCCATGCTAACCTGAATCGCTTGATAAGCATAAAGCAGGGAAATGGAGTTATTTTCAAATTAAGCATTATGTGATGCAAATTTCTCATAAAACTAGTCCATTTAGGATGATCTCTCCATTTGAACAATTAAATACAAAGGCATCATCAACAAAGTGTATAATTTTTACCCACTAGCCTAGAGGGCACTTATACCTCCTTCCTGCCCAGGCCAATTTCCAGCTTTCAGCGCTGTTGCACTTTGATTGACAATTGCGCGGTCATGCAACACTGTACCCTTATGAAATTGTTATCATTTGTTTGTGACATATAGAGCCAGAGGTATTTAATCACCTCTAGGTTTTTTATTTTTTCTTAAACAAACCAAAAACCACAGAAAATTTTTTAAAAAAAAAAAAAAGTTTTTTCTTAGTTTTTGTTATAAAATTTTGTAAATAAGTGATTTTTCTCCTTCACTGATGTGCGCTAATGAGGCTGCAGTGATAGGCACTGATAGACTGCACTGATGGACACTGATAGGTGGCACTGATGGGCACTGATGAGGAGGCACTGGTAGGTGGCACTGATGGGCATTGACAGGCATCACTGATGGGCACTGAAAGGCAGCACTCATATATGGTACTGATAGGCAGCACTAATAGGTGGCACTGATCGGCGGCACTGCCTGGCACTGTTAGGTGGCACTGACTGGCACTGTTAGGCAGCACTGATAGGCAGCACTATGAGCACTTATAGGCGGCACTGATGCACATTGATAGGCAGCACTGACTGGCACTGATAGGTGGCACTGATTGGCAGCACTGATAGGTGGCACTGACTGGCATTGATAGGTGGCACTGACTGGCACTGATGGGTGACACTGAAAGGCAGCTCAGATGGGCACTGATATGTGGCATTGATGTGGCACTGATGGGCACTGAAGAGCACTGGCAGGTGACATGGATGAGCACTGAGAGCTGGCACTGATGGACACTGACAGGTGGCTCTGCTGGGGCTACACAGATCATCAGGGCACTCTGATCATCAGTGCTCTGATGATCTGTGTACATGTCCCCTCCGAGGAATGCCGATTACTGGCTCTCCTCTCCTCATGAGCTGTCAGCATGACAGCTCATGGGGAGAGAAATGCCGATAACCAGCATTTTCCTGTTTACATGTGATCAGCTGTGATTGGACACAGCTGATCTCATGACCAAACCAACATTTTCAGCTCTTTCCATGGATTGGTGATCCGCTGTGTCCGAGGGACACAGAGCACCGCCAATCGCCGGTGAGAATGGCAGAACGTCATATGACGTCCTCCCAGAACGAGGGAACTACCTTGCATCCGTCATATTACTATATGGCGGCCGGGAGGTGGTTAAGATGTATGTTTGGCTCAATTCATCTACAGAAGAGATCCTTCAATACACATAGATAGGAACAGGATCTCAATGGAAAACTGACCTAACAACAAGGAATAAGATATTACAATTAACTCATAACTCAATATCAACTCCAATACAAGAAATTAAATATAAATAGTTGACATATTGGTATTACACACCACAGAGGATCCATAAATTATTTCAGTGGTAGTTTTATTAATTCATTTAATGAAAGCATCTACATTGATAATCCCAAAACATTTGAAAAATACTTATACGCCTACGATTAGGGGCTTGTGTGAGAAAGTGAATCATGCTTGTAAGATGGAAGAACTAAATTTGTCAGTATATAATAGAGATGAGACTTTTAGAGCTGTATGGCTTCCATGGTAAAATTTCCATTTTACAGAACATCATTCTAACTGATGTAAGATTTAATGGTTGAGAGCTTTTCTTTTGATAATCCCTAAATATAATGTAATCTTCATATCTGTTATATTTGGATTTCTACACTTTGTGCATTGAAGTGATGAAAGATCCAACTTGTTTCAAAATAATGAGTGTGAAATGTCATTTTTTTGCTGTTCTCTGCTTTCTTATTTTTTTTTAAATATATACAAAAAGAGTATTCTGGTCTGTAGGTTTGGCATACAAACATGTGGGTATGCTTGCATCAGCATGGACCACCTATTCAACATCAAGATACAAAATTAGAATCGGTCATTTTGGGGGCGGGGATCTTGGGGCCCCTTTGCTAAAGGGGACTTACAGATTCCAATAAGCCCCCGCCCACAGACCCCCACAACCACAGGCCACAGTTGTGGGGAAGAGGCCCTTGTCCCCATCAACATGAGGACAAGGTTCTTTGAGGAGGGAGGGTGGGCTTGGTTTGAATGCAGGGGGGGACCCCATGCCCTTTTTTCAATAATTTTTTTTTCTTTTTCTTTTTCTCTTTACATTCAGGTGTCAGTGGGGAACCCTGCTGACAGCTTGTGACTCATAGGTTGTTAGGGACTCCACGGCCACCCAGTCCTTAACAACCCATGACAGTACGGACAGATGCCAGTACATACCACATGCCTGGACCACTACTTAATTACTGCATGCATTTAATTATTTATTTCCTTTTGTGAATTGAATTTAAGGTCTTTTTATGTGGTATTTACCAAGTTTTTTTTTTATATTTTTGGTAAATACCGCATACTAGCACTAGTGAATTGATATTTGCAGTATTGCATGTGATATGTGGTCATGTGACTGACAACTCATGCGATAAGCTTTAGTGAATTGTGAACACTATTTATGTATGCATGTTATTATTACCTGTGTGCACGGACTCTATATTGTTGCCTGTTGAGTGGTTGACGTAGCTTTCTATTGCAAGTTTTTACCTGCTGAATACAGTTGCTTCTCTATCCTCTTATAATGAATGATGCACACCCTTTTGTGTGTCAGGTTTTATTCCTGACATTCTTGGGGTCATCTTTCCATCTGAAGCTAATAACATTTATATTATGCAACATTAATATATATTATTTGGATTGCATGCTTTGCATTAAGCTTTCAATGGATGATGTATGATAAATCATCATGAGGTACAGTGCATCCTATTCACACTATTTATTATATGGAATACAGATTGCTTTTTCTGTACCATTCTCTACGTGTGAGTTCCTGTACAGTAGGTTACATGATATCACACACAAAAAACATACAATGCAATGTACAGTAGAAGTATGGAGTTAGTTTACCTCCCAGCTTCAGGTCTGGTCATACTGACTGCTTTTGTGTCCCAGGACAGAGAGAGAGCACAGCTTGGGGACAATTCCTTATATGCCCCTCCCCTTTCTTTACAGTAGATAGTTTAGTGCACCCTAAATGGTCACTAAACCTAGCAAATGTATATTGGGGGAAGCCTGATCGGAGGATTTAAATAAGGCTGCTGATTACCACCCATGTGGGATATGACACATAAAAACATATGTAACAGTCTGTATATTGTCACACGTACAGTAATTTGTGATGTGACAGTATATCTAATAGATATTTAAAGCTCCTTCTTTCACAAAATAGTGTTAAAATATAATACTTTTAAAAGAAATAGCTTATGTATATTAATATTAATATCCTTTGCTCATTGTTCTATGTAATATTCTCTAGAATTTCACTTTACAATAGTTCTAAGCATTTATTTTTAATTAACTGATGATATTCATTATAAAAATTATCTCTCTGTGAACAGAATATTATTTTTTAAAAGTTTCCCCCTTAACATTTTAACCACAGCAAAAAATACTGTAAATGTTTAAAAAATACAGAACATATACTGAATATATACATTTTTCTTTTAAGCATTAATAAAACTACAAAAACATAATTAATATGTGCTTAATCCGGAACAGATATCTTTTAATTTTTAAATAAGGGTAAAAAAAAAAATCATACAATTACTTCTGTATTTGTTACATCATAAAAAAAATGTATATGTATAATTCATATCTATTACTAATCTCTTGATAAAGTCCATTTTGAAAAAAAAAGAGTCTGGAGGAAGACCCTATGATATCACTGGGCTTGGTCAGGAGCCACACCAAGAATCGGATTTGTAAAACACACAGTGAGCGTGATTTGGTTTTTGCATCTGGAGATGTTAGTGTTCTTACTGTGTTCATGCATTTTTTTCTTTATGATTTATTAATATCAAGGCATATTCAATAGAAATTTAATAAATCCCTAAAATATTATTTACCACAAAAATGCAATATTTATTTAATAATTTTAAAAATACAATTACCTTTCCTCAGGGTAAATGTAATACCCAAAAACAGAAACACTGGAAATGTATTCTTATATTTGGTGCAAAGACATTCAAAATGTCTCTTTTTCCCAATACTGATTCCTTTAGCTCTGAAAAATGCCACTAGAAATCTGATGTATGCTATTACTGAGCAATACTTTAGTCCTGAACATAAATAAAGAAAATACATTCATACATACACTATACATTCCGTAGAAACTGTTTTTTGGAAAACAATGGGGGTGATTTACTAAAAAATAAAACAAACTGTTCACTTTAGGTGATTTGCCCTCAGATTCATTAATGAGTTGAAAATTTGCTTTGCAAAGTATACCAATCACATGTAAGAAAAATAGAAAAAAGATTTTTTTGTGTGCACATGACTGGATGATGGAAGTTAACAGAGCTTCACCTCATTTACTAACTTCCTTTGCAAAGTAAAAATTATCTTGCCCAGCGAACAGGTTGCCTTTAGTAAATTAACCCTTTTAACCACTTCCCGACTGCCCAATAGCAGATATACTGCTACAGGGCAGCACGGGTGTGCAAAATCACATATATATATATATATATCTGATTTTGCATGTCCGGGTAGGGGACGTGAGTGCGCCCTACCTTCTTTGCCATTCGCAGCTGTCAATCACCGGGTCCCAGCCAGTGATTACTCGTCGGCACCCAGTGATTGCCAAGGTTCTCCAACAGGGAGGAGAACTGTATATAAACAATACAGTTCTCCTCCCTGTCAACTCATGCACACTGCTTTGGATGGCTGTGAACAGCACAGCCATCCAAAGCAGTGTGATTACAGTGAAGCACAGACATACAGCACAAAGTAAAACAACACACAGCACACTGCTAACCCTTTGATCACCCCTCATGTTAACCCCTTCCTGCCCAGTGCCATTAGTACAGTGTCAGTGCTTTTTTTAGCACTGATCACAGTATTGGTATTACTGGGGATGTCAGTGATACCAAGTCAGTTCCCCCCAGCGTCAGAATGCCCCCTGCATTCCCACTATAAGTTGGTGATCGCGTTGGTAATTACTAGTAAAAATAACAAAAATTTAAAAATTCAAGTATCTATACCCCCATTTGTATACACTATAACTGTCACGTAAACCAATTAATTTACACGTTCTGGGATTTTTTTTTTAGCAAGGGCATGTAGCAGAATCCATTTTGGCCTAAATTTATGATGAAATTAGATTTAAAATTTTTTTTTACTGAGCATGTTTAATAGCAAAAAGTTAAAAATATTGTTTTTTTTCTCAAAATTGTAAGCCTCTTTTTTATAGTGCAAAAAATAAAAAATGCACAGGTGATCAAATACCACCAGAAAAAAGCCCAATTTGTGGGGGGAAAAAGGATGTAAATTTCATTTGGGTGCAGCGTTGAATAACCACGCAATTGTCAGTTAAAGTAACGCAGCACTGTAAAGCAAAAAATGGCCTGGTCAGGAAGGGGGGTAAATCCTCAGAAGGGCAAGTGGTTAAAAATAGTGTTTTGTCATTTTCATTTTTTGAATGTCCACAATTTTATTACCGTTTACAATCTTTATCAAAGATAAATAAATGTTATTGATTCAAATGTTATTCTGAACAAATACTTATTGTGTACAGTTCAGAGTGGACATATACTAGAAATAATTTTTTTTTTTACCTGAAAGATGAATAATTTCTCCTATTATGGTAGCTTTAGGCACCTTCCCAAAAGTAACTTGGGAATCAAGAGGGAGACAGTTATCCCTGAAATACTTCTTGAGGGATGCATGAATTAAAAGTCAGTGGAGGGTTCACTTCAAGGGCCTTGCAATTAGAGCCCACTGGCTTAGGCAAAACGCAATTTAAAACATTTTAAGCTCTTTTTTAAAAATATTTTTAAAAGAAACAATTCAGAGCTTAGAGATTTACCCCATTCTTTTTTGGAAGCGCTGAAGAAATGCAATG